TCAATTTCAACCATGTTACACACTTCCTCTTGTTGGTAGGCTCTATCCTTCCAGTGTTCCTCGATTTTCCTCCGTGCTTTGATTTTACATACAGCCCACCAATCAGCTTTGTCACGTTTCAAACTAGGATATGATGCATAACATACTTGAATTGCTTGTTGTGCCAAGACAAATGGTTCATACTTCATATACCTTTTCTTATGATTTATTTCAACCAAATTGAACTTCGTATGCACCTTCATTCCTTTGACGGGGTCGAACCACGTGCACTTAAATAACACAACCCGCATCATTAATGGTCCATGGTACTCTATCTCTATGATTTCATCCAACAAGCCATAAAAATCATCTTCTGAACTGCCACCATTGGATGACCGAACACACACACCACTATTCATTGTGGATTTTCCCATTCCATATTCTTGAGTATGAAAATTATATCCATTTGTGAAATATGCTGGCCAACTTCGAACTCTTAACTGTGGACCCCATGACAGATGATATAGCAATTCTTGCCCTCTAATTTCATCATAATTACTGTGAACCTAAGGTTACACATGCAAAGTCAATAATATATATTATACTAAATGATGTATATAATTTTAATAACTTGGTTTTGGTCCATAGGCAACTTACATATGTCTTGAACCATGCTGCAAATTGTTCATCGCACAAACGGTCAAACTCATTTGGTTGTAGTCCAAACATTTAAGTTTGGAAAATCCTAATATTAAAAACCATGTAAATATTAGCAAATATTTGACACACAAAATATATATTTGCAAATTTACACTTACTTGAAGTATGGCTCGACTTCTGGGCACTTCAGTAAAATATAAGTACGGGTTGCTTGAAATTCTTCGCCTGATAAGTAACGAAACTGGCATGCGCCGCTTGGTCGACCCAGATAATTGAAAATAGAGAATGCTGTGCAATTGAGATCAATGGGGCCCTCATCATTTCTGCCTGCTCTCCGCCTCTTGCACTGAACGTGCGGCTCAAAATAGTATGATGCAAATGTTGTCACTTCTTCCACAATATATGCATTACAAATTGAAGCTTCAACACGTGCCTTATTCTTCACTTTTTTCTTCAAATGATATAAGAATATGGTTGAAATAGAAATAAGCTTATCGGAACATATTATATGATAAACTAATTTGAACTGTATTTTAAAAAAAACATTACCTCTCAAATGGATACATCCATCGAAATTGGACGAGACCTGCAACTTTGGCCTCATAAGGCAAGTGAACTAAGAGATGCTGCATCGAATCAAAAAACGCTGGAGGAAATATCCTTTCTAAGTTGCAAAGAATAATTGGAATATCTCTCTCTAGTTTTTCCATGTGCGATACTTTTAACATTGTCGAGCAAATATCATGGAGGAAATTGCTTAACTCTGTAATTGCGCCCCATACAAAGTTCGGTAGAACTTCCTTCAAAGCTATTGGAATTAGTCTTTCCATCAGGATGTGACAATCATGACTCTTCAAACCTGTGAACTTGCATTCATTCAAATCAACACATCTCCCGAGGTTCGAAGCATATCCATCGTGAAACCGCATGATTTCAACCATTGACAAACAACTCGCCTCCCTCCTTATCCAATGTATAAACCGCTTTCGGTTTTGGTCCCCGCTCGCTTGCATCCACAGCTAGTATTGGCCGATCGCAAATATCTCTCATATCTTTTCTTGCGTTCAAGTTGTCTTTTGTTTTTCCGGCGACATCCATCACAGTATTTATGACATTGTCGAAAACATTCTTTTCTATGTGCATGACGTCAAGATTATGATGAATAAGATGGGCCTTCCAATATGGTAGATCCCAAAATATACTGCGTTTTGTCCATTTATGTGTACTTCCGTACGCAAAAGTCGTGCCGTGCGGGTTCTCAACAATAGTTGGAAAGTCCTGCACACGCTCCCAAATTTGATCGCCGGTCAACCTCAATGGTGGACGCTTTCTTTCAATCCTATTTTTGGTGAACTCTTTATTATTCCTTCTAAAATGATGACTTGGGGGTAAAAATTGTCTGTGACAGTCAAAATAGCTGGGCTTCTTTCCATGTTTTAATCTAAATGACTTTGACCTCTCCAAACATATCGGACATCCTAAGATCCCAGCTGTACTCCATCCAGATAACATTCCGTAAGCTGGAAAGTCATTTATCGTCCAAAGAAGGGCACCCTTCATTACAAATGTTTGATCGATAGAAATGTCATACGTAGGGACACCTTCAACCCATAGTCGTTGTAACTCCTCAATCAATGGTTGCATATAAACATCTATCAACTTTTTCGGATTTTGCGGCCCTATCACGATCAATGTCAAAAACATATAAGGTGTCTTCATGCACATACCAGGTGGAAGATTGTACGGCGTTAAGATAACTAGCCAACATGAATAACTTTTTCCTGTTTTCCCAAATGGAGCAAATCCATCGGCACAGAGACCTAACCTGATGTTCCGAGGCTCCATCGCAAACTCAGGGTATGTTCTATCAAAATGTTGCCATGCCTCCGCATCTGAAGGATGACACATTAGACCCTCATCTGTTTCATGATTTGCATGCCAAGTCATGTGTTCAGCAGTGGCTTTAGACGCATAAAGCCTTTGCAATCTGGGGATTAAGGGCGAGATAAAACATTTGCTTGCATGGTCTACGCTTCGATTACGACCCGGCCTCCCGTTAATCTTGTACCTAGGTTGGCTACGTAATTTGCAAGATTCTCGCATTTTCATCATCTCTCCAATATATCATACAACCCCTACTACATACATCAATCCTTACAACCGGAAGACCTAAGTTATCCACTAGCTTTTTCATATCATAAAAATCACTTGGCATGATGTTATCACGAGGCAATGATTCCCGCATTACTTCAACAAAAGAGTTGAAACAATCCGCAGACACATTATGCTCTGCCTTGATATTTAATAGTCGGGCTGTCACCGATAACTTAGTATGGTCCTCATAACCTGCCCATAAAGGCTCATCTGCTGCTTTCAACACATCCCGAAACTGATTAGATTGAAAAGTTTCATTATAGACATTCTCATCAAAACCCGTTACTCCTATATCTTCCAATTGTGAAGCATGACTAGTACCCACTTGTTCACGTGTAGGAGTAAAACTAGTACTTGCATGATTTGATTCTGTGACAAAATTATAACTAGCTGCATCAATCACCATCCTCTCGTATGGGTTCAATTGCTCATAATAGCCACATTTTTCCCTAACTGAAAATTGGTCACTTCTTCCATATCCTTCATCAAATATAAATGGTTCACCATGGGAAGTCCAATTATAATAGTTCGGACTAAACCCAAATCTAGTAAGGTGTTCTCTAACTTGATCACACACAAGAAATTTACCATTACCGCACTTTTTACAAGGACACCTTAACTTATTTCCATCCATGAACTCATATTTACTACTAGCAAAGTCTAAAAATAGTTCCAACCCAAGATTTAAACTCATCCGTCAATCCTTGACGTCCGTAAGTTCTTATTATACATCCAAGCCCTTTCTCTTTGCATTGTGTCCGTATTAAAATAAAAAATTCTGGTAAAATATTAAAAATATCATATCTATTGTTCTTAATTAAAACCATAAAATTTTGGAAATTATAATTTTCGTTATTCACGCAACAATTAATATGAAATTGCAAAAATAGAAAAAATTACCATGTAAAGAAGACTTACCCAAATATTTGACTGAAATATTGGTAGGAGAAAGTGGTCAATTTGATGAGAATTGCAACGTCCACTTGGATTGCGAGACCTTCAATTAGACACATACCCAAAAAGAATAATCACTTAAGAATCATTTTTTAATAATTTTTAATGTGCAATGGAAACGGAATTCATCCCTCGCAAATTTGCGACGGATCCTTGATTTCGTTGCAAATTTGCGACGGAAAGTTAATTCCGTCGCAAATTTGCGACGGAATGAAGGATCCCTCGCAAATTTGCGACGAATCCTTGATTCCATTCCAAATTTGCGACGGATCCTTCATTCCGTCGCAAATTTGCGACGGAAAGTTAATTCCGTCGCAAATTTGCGACGGAATCAAGGAAATTCGTCGCAAAATTTGCGACGGATCCTTGATTCCGTCGCACATTTGCGACGGAAAGTTAATTCCGTCGCAAATTTGAGACGAAATTTTCATTTATTCGTCGCAAATTTGCGACGGAAACTGTTTCCATCGCAAAACGGCGTGGCCGTTCGGCCTCATCCAAAGGCTGGCGAGGTGTCGCCGGTCGCCAGTCGTTAAATCGGTGATGCAGATACGAAAAAAAAACAAACATAAACATATATAAAATAAAAGAAATTACAATTCAACGATGAATAGTCACGAAGCTAGCTATGATACTTACCGGTACAAAAGCTTCACCGAGATTAATATGTGCGTGCGCGGATTTTGCTGATTTCAAACATATGAAAGAGGGAGAAAAACGAGAGAGAGCGAGAGAGAGAGATACGGTTGGAATATCACGGGCCGATAAACTACAAATTTGCGATGGACGTTCGTTTTCGTCGCAAATTTGCGACGGATTTGGCGACGGTTTTTTTTTCCGTCGGAAATTTGCGACGAACTTTTTGCGACGGATTTATTTTCCGTTGCAAATTTGCGACGAACTTCTTTTCGTCGCAAATTTGCGACGGTTTTTTTTTCCGTCGAAAATTTGCGACGAACTTTTTTCCGTCGCAAATTTGCGACGGAATTAGCGACGGTTTTTTATTTCCGTCGCAAATTTGCGACGGATTTTTCATCCGTCGCGAATTCTGTCGCAAATTTGCGACGGAAATAAACCGTCGCTAATTTGCAACGAAATATATAATTTTTCGCAAATTTCGTCGCAAATTACATGTTTTTTTGTAGTGTGTAATTACGAAAACGCGTGATAAGATTGTACGACAGTTCCGCCATTGGGTGATCGAGAAATGTTGTTTGGAACTTTCAAAGTGTTATTGCTGTTTTAAAGGTACTGCACGAGAAATATAATATCGGTCAGTACATTTGTTCTTCCCCCTTCTGTACGATCACATCTCCCCAAGAACAGGAACACAAACCCTCCTCGAGTACAACCATCCTCAATCCCTAGCTCATAACCCTAGTTCGCGTCCCTGTTCTCAGCGCTCGAGCTCCGACCATGGATGGCATGAACACGACCCACATGAACGGGACGACGGCGCCGCCGCCGCCCCACCACCACAAGATGATGATGATGCACATGACCTTCTTCTGGGGCACGAAGGCCGAGATCCTCTTCTCCGGCTGGCCGGGCACCCGGACCGGCATGTACGCCCTCGCCATCGTCTTCGTCTTCGTCCTGTGCGTCCTCGTCGAGTGGATCTCCCACAGCCGCCTCCTCCCCCCCGCCAAGCCCGGCGTCGCTGCTGGCATCCTCCGGTCTCTGCTGCACGCGGTGCGCATGGGGCTCGCGTACCTGGCGATGCTGGCGCTCATGTCCTTCAACGGCGGCGTGTTCCTCGCGGCGGTCGCGGGGCACGCGGTGGGGTTCCTGGTGTTCTCGAAGCCGGAGGAGGCGGGCGGGCCGTACGCGTGGAAGGCCGCCTCCGATCTACCTCCGATGAGCTGCTGATTCGTGGCGGGAGTGAGGTGGGTGTGTTGAGATTATGGATGTGAGATGATGATAATAAGTCGTGGTGTTGTAGCGAGTTAAAACATAACAGTGGAGATGAAGAATGGTATGTGTGATTATAAAGATAATCGAACGATATGATTTACAGATTTTGTTGAAGCTGGAGACAAATTGAAATAGAGGGCCGTGGCTCGTGTAGTGCAGTTTTTTGGCTTTTTCTTGCTGTCCTGTTTCGTGTACAGTTGCATCACATCCGACTGCTACATTTTGCTGGAATTTCATATAATCCTTTTTGCACATAGAGCTTTCTTTGTGAATCCGAAACCATTGTAAGCTCGTCGCCCAGCACGGCACAGTTTAGTTCGGTTTGTTTCGAATGCGAAAGTAAACCTATCAAAATGAGAGGAGGATCTGGTCTGAGATTAGAAACGGATTCGAATTGAATTCTTTGATCGTCGGTCATATTCCTTTTCATCAATATGTATTTGGGATCGTCTAATAACGAGGTGGCTCGATGAAAAAAGACACTTGGGTTGCACCTCTGATACATGGGGCCATGGCAGGCTCAATTATCGTTCCCGTAGAAGATGGTATATAACCACGTAGGGTCGTGCAACAAAGGAACATCTTCTGTTTAAGCAAAACATTGTTACGCGATGGCTAAGGAAAGGGCAACCGAGTTCTGCTTCTGCTCTTTCGAGGAGATGGAGGTGGTACTACTGGTGGGGCTTCAGGTCTGCATAGCAACGTTTCTGTTCCCAGAAATAATTTCTGATCAGAAATAGTTTTTTCTATTTCTATTTCTATTTCTTGGAACAGCTTCTGAGCAAAAAATAGCGTTTAGTAACTGCACAAAATTTCTATTCCTGGAATAGAAAAAGAATAGAAACGCGTTTAGGGCGCGAATGATCCATTTCTATTCCATGGACGAGTTTCTCCCTTCTGGGCTACCGGCGGAGGACGGCGGGTGGCGGTGGGGGGCGGAGGACGGTGGTCGGCGGCGGCAGAGGATGGCGGCCGGCGGCGGGAGGCAGTGGAGCACGGCGGTCAGCGGCGGAGCACGGTGGCGTCGGGCGGCGGTGACGGCAGCGGGGGGCGGCGGCGGGAGGTGGCTGGCGGCGGAGGGTGGCCATCGTCGGTCGATGGAGCACGGCGGCCGGTGGCGAAGGATGGCGGCCGATGGTGGGTGACCGCCGGCGTCGAGTGGCCAGGGGCGGGAGGTGGCTGGCGGCCGAGGGCAGCCAGCGCCGGGTGGTGGCCGACGTTGGGCGGTGGAGCACAATGGCCGGCGGCGGAGGATGGCGGCTGGTGGTGGGTGACCGGCGGCGACGGAGGACGACGACCGGTGGTGGGTGATCGTTGGTGTCGGGTGGTTGGCGGGGGGAGGCGGCCAGCGCCGGATGGCGGCCGACGTCGGGCGATGGAGCATGGCGGCCAGCGGTGGAGGACGGCAGCTGGTGGCGAGTGGCGACAAGCGTCGAGCGGCGGAGAACAGTGGTCAACGACAAGAAGCGACCAGCGGGCGGGAGGCAGCCGGCGGGCGTTGGTTGGCAGGCGGCGGCGGAAGGCAGGCGGTAGGTGGCGGCGAAGGACGGCGAGAGGCGGCGGTGGACGGGTTGCGGCCGATGGATTGTGTCTTGTTTTTTAGGGATTCTAGAAAAAAAATCATTTCTTTTTTCTTGTTCTAGAAATAAGAAGTATATTTTTTTTGCTTGTTGTTTCTATTCCAAATCTATTTCAGGAACACTTTTTTGTTTCAGAAACTAAAAAATAATTTTTTTTTACTAAATAGATTTTCATTTTTTTTTTGTTCCGGAGAATAAAAGAATAGAAAAATAAAGAAATAAAAATGTTACTAAATAGACCCTTCCCTACTGGACGCTGACATGACCTCGATTTCCTTCCATGGCTTCAAACTACCGCCACAGGATCCGTGGCTCTGCTGCCAAAAGCAAGGAGGAGAGAGAAAGAGAGAGGAGAAGAGATTTTTCCGAGTGTGTATGTGGACGACGTGTTGCGACGGAGGCGGCTTCCCTCTAACGTAGATTCCGAGGTAGGCTTCTTTGTCCCGGATGTGAAATTTGTCGGGGGGGACCCGTTTGCTCGCGGACCCTTCTTTGCGGGTCGGGTTTAAGTATCTCGAACTCGAAGAGCTTTGAGGTTAGAGAAGAAGTCGTCCACTACCTGCTCGCCATTTGTTTGGCTGTAGAGCGCCGAGACTACTAGACTTCTGTTTTCCACCAAGAAAACGAGATATTATATTGTACAGTTTTTTGTTTTTTCTTCATTTTGTCAAATGTGTTGTATCATCTCATCTGAAAAAGGTCCTTGGGTTATGTGGCCGACTTCTCTTCGGGCTAATAAGTAAAGCCCAAACGAAACCCCACCTACTTTGGATCTCGAAAGAGTCCAATTTAGATACATTTGCGTCAAACTAGTTTCCATCTCTGAAGAATTTCAAACTAGAACTTTCGTGACATATATATCTCAAATTAATTATTTTCATTAATTTCAGTCGCATAAAAAAAATCCAAACTTCAACCAAAAGGAAAAAGAAAACCCATACTGGTACGCCAATTCAAATCTAGCCTTCGTCTTTGTCTGTATAACATCCCGTTAAACTGCAATCTGTCAAAACACGTGCTGGACAACTACAAAACGGATCTGACGTGAAGATGGACCGATTTGACGTGAACATCTACGTGCGCCGACACGTTATGTACTTTAATGGATGGTTTTAAAATTCAAATCAAGGACACTGCGGTATCTGAATTTTTTTGTGAGACGAAACTTAGTTTTGAATAACCGTGTTGTGGACATTATCAATTTGAGATTTTTCTGAAATTTAGGTTGGGATAAATTCGTGATAGAGATACTATTTTAAGATTTTTTGTAACGGGAATTAATTTAGGATAAAATGTGTCGTGAGAATACCGGTTTGGAGATTTTTTTTTTTTTTTTGAAGGAGTTCTAACCAATACGAAAGTGTCTCTTTATGTTTTTTGGTTTCTTACATCCTTTTTGTCTCATTATATGGCGATTTCGTAATTAATTACAAGACGGATGCGCTTTTGTCGTATCGCCAATCGAGGGGAACTGGGGGTCCGCAGCGGGAAGCGATGGTATTGGTAGACTGGTCGTCAACGTAATCACTTCTCCTGGGAAAGTGAGGTGATTGCGGGCCCCGCTCTTCCTTGTGGTTGCGACTTGCTTGGTCCAAGTCTCAAGTCTCTGCAGTCAAAAAGTTAATAACAATGCACGACCAGTCCACCGTCGGGTTGAAAGTTCATAAAAGGGAAAATTTCATTTTGGTACCCAAAGTGGGGTATTTTCTCAATTTGATACTCAAAGTGGATATAATCTCAAATTGATACCTAAAATGCCCATTCGCCTCAATTTAACCCAAAGTGCCCATTCACCAATTTGGTACTGAGTTCGCCGGCCAAATGCTCACCTACGGCAAGAAGAAATTTACTGTTCCGGCTACCGGAACAGTATTTTTTTTTTTAACTTTTTTGTTCTTTTTTCCTTTTTCTGTTTTTTATCTTTTCCTTTTCCTTTTCTTTTTTTTTTTTCCTTCTTCCCTCCGCCGGCTATAGCCGTGGCCGGCGGAGGTCGCCGGCGTCGGGCGAGGGCGAGGGTTGCCCTCGCCGGATCTGGCAAGGGTCACCCTCGCCGGCGTCGGGCGAGGGCGGCCCTCGCCTGGGCTGGCGAGGGTCGCCCTCGCCTGCGTCGGGCGAGGGCCGACCCTAGCGAGGGTCGAGGATGCAGCCGAAGAAGCGAGAGCGGTAGGCGAGAGAAGAGAGGGAGTAGGAGAGGCAGACGAAGTGGGAAGCCACGAACTGGTCCTGCTCGAGCCCCATGACGATGATCTGGGTGTGCAGCTGGTGGATGTGGGCGGAGTTCTTGCAGGACTTGAGGAGGGTGACGATTGACGGCAGCTTGGCGGAGGGTGCCGGCATCGGCCCTCGTCGGCATCGGGCGACCCTCGCCAAATCCGGCGAGGGTCGGCCCTCGCCCCCCAGGCGAGGGCGGCCCTCGCCCGACGCAGGCGCATTCAGTCTCAATTTGGTACCAAATTGAGACTGAATGGGCACTTTGGGTACCAAATTGAGACTATGTCCACTTTAGGTACCAAATTGAGAAAAGGCCCTCACTTTGGGTACCAAAATGAAATTTTCCCTTGATAAAATTTACATGGTTTGTCAGTAAAATATTAATTAGGAAAAAGCCAAAAAAAAAAACTCTAAACTAAACCAAACATTCACACGTATACTCTAAACTATTTTCCGTAACATCAAAAATCCACAAGAACACTTTTTTTATACATATATAATAAATTTATCCCGATTTTTTTTTGTAACACCAAAAACCTCAAACTTTTTGAGATAAATGTGTCACATGAATATAAGTTTAGGATTTTTGGAGGAAGTTTGGGGTAAATATGTCACATTGTACAATTTTAGGGTAAATATGTTACATAGATACAAGTTTACGGTTTTTGGTGTCCCAAAAAAAATTTTAAGGTAAATGTGTTATAATGAACATGATTCAGGGTTTTTTGTGGCTTTACCTATTAATTACTTACGGTGAAAAGTCAAATATAATTAGAATTTACCATCATAATTTATCTATTGAATATGTTACGATTTAAGGGTAAAAGAAAACATGCTAAAATGACTATCAAAAAGTTTCTCGTTTTTGGCTCGAAACAGTGGATTTCCAATCCGAAATTTCACCTTTGGCTGTGTTAAAGAAACTAGCAGTTACCCGCCAAACATGTTGAAAATTAAACTTGATTCATGAATCTAGGCGCATTAATGTAGTTCATGTATGTGTCATGCATTTAATTAGTCCATTAGATTTTCAAGATTCATGTACTACAAAGTTCTAGGAGTTTTATGAGGTCTTAATAAATGCATACAATGTACTAAGGGTCTTTATGTACCTATAAAAGGGCTTGCGATTGAATCATTTAAAATATAGCCAAGCCACAAAAATATCAAAGAGTATTCTAAGTATTCTCTTGTGTTCCTTTCTCTCAACTTCTCAATTTCAACAAAGTGGTATCAGAGCTACGGTTGAAGATGAATAGCTCTTTTCCTTATGCCGTTCCCAAGCTTTCGAAACAAAATTATGGGCAATGGTGCATTCGCATGAAGGCGTTGCTTGGCTCAAAGGACGTGTGGGAAGTTGTTCAAAAAGGCTATGATGAACCGGAGGATGAAGCGGTTTTGAATCAAAATCAAAAGAACACGTTGAACAAGCTTCGTAAAGGTGATCAACATGCCCTCTCTATTATTCACATGGGCTTGGATGAAGCCATGTTCGAGAAAGTTGCTTCCGCATCAAAGGCCAAAGAAGCCTGGGATATTTTAGAAAATAATTTCAAAGGAATTGAAAAGGTGAAGAGGGTACGTCTTCAATCTCTACGTGGTGAGTTCGAATCTCTACATATGGCGGGGTCCGAATCCGTTTCTGATTTCTTCACTAGAGTATCCTCCGTAACCAATCAAATGAGGCAATATGGCAAAAATATTGACGATGTTCATGTTATTGAAAAGATTCTTAGATCGCTTGACTCAAAGTTTGATCTTGTTGGTGTTGCCATTGAGGAATCCAATGACTTGAAGACTATGACCCTTGATCAGCTCATGGGGTCATTGCAAGCATATGAAGAAAGATTAAAGAAGAAGGGAGAGACGGCGACCCAAGTACTCCAAACTAAGGTCTCTTTGGGAGATCAAGTGAAAAAGCATGAATGATCTCATGGGAGAGGTCAAAATCGTGGCAGTGATTGTGGTCGTGGTCATGGCCGTGGAGGAAACTTTGGCTGTGGTCGTGGAAGGAGCGGAGACCAACATTCCATCAATGAAAAGTCAAGCTTTCAAACAGGAGGACGTGGAAATTATGGCTACAATAGAGGTGAAAGGAGAAGGTATGATAAAGCTAATATTCAATGTTATTCCTGTCACAAATTTGGGCACTATGCTAATGAATGTAGGAGTGCCACTACAAACAATGAAGTGAAGGTCAATTTTATTGAACTCAAAGAAGAAGAAGACGAGACATTGTTGTTATTGGCAACGAATGAAGAAAGAGAGAAAGGAGCATGGTATCTTGACATCGGTGCCGCAAATCACATGAGTGGCAACATAGAGTCATTCTCAACTCTTAATGAGGCGGTGAATGGCAACATCATCTTTGGAGATAATACTAAAGCCCCAATCAAAGGAAAAGGTGATGTCTTAATACGTGCTAAAAATGGAAGTCATCTTTTGATATCTCAAGTTTATTATGTTCCTACTTTGAAGTCTAATATTCTAAGTTTGGGACAATTACTTGAGATGGGATATGATATTCACTTGAAAGATCATTGCCTTCTTTCGAGAGATGATTCTCATAAGTTGATAGCAAAGGTGCCTATGGAGAAAAATAGAATGTTCTTGCTCAATGTTCAAGTTGATCATCCAAGGTGCTTGAAGAGTTGTGTTGAAGATACTTCTTGGCTTTGGCACTTGAGATTTGGCCATTTGAATTTTGGTAGCTTGAAGACTTTGGCGAATGAAGATATGGTGCATGGGTTGCCCAAAATCAATCATCCCAACCAACTGTGTGAAGGATGTCTTTTTGGCAAACAAGCTAGAAAAAGTTTTCCTAGGGAGGCCACTTCAAGAGCATCGAAGCCACTCCAACTTGTTCACGCCGATGTGTGCGGACCCATCAAACCATCCTCACATGGTAAAGCCAATTATTTCCTACTCTTTATTGATGATTATTCTCGCAAAACTTGGATCTATTTTTTGAAAGCTAAAAATGAAGTTTTTGGAGCATTCCAAAAATTCAAGACCCTTGTTGAGAAAGAAAGTGGCTATTATATTAAAGCATTAAGGACCGATCGAGATGGAGATTTCACTTCCGGGGAATTTGAAACTTTTTGTGACACCAATGGGATTCGTCATTTCTTGACTGTTCCAAGGTCTCCACAGCAAAATGGTGTCGTATAGCGGAAGAACAAAACCATTCTCAACATGGTCCGAAGCATGCTTAGAAGCAAAAAGATGCCAAAGGAATTTTGGGCCGAGGCCGTTGCATGTGCGGTATATTTGTCCAACCTATCTTCTTCAAGAAGTGTTTTTTTTTTTTTGGTAAGGTTCTTCAAGAAGTGTTTGTGGCATGACACCTAAAGAAACATGGAGTGGTAAGAAACCTAGTGTTTCTCACTTACGTGTTTTTGGAAGTATTGCTTATATTCATATTCCAGATGAGAAGAGATCTAAACTTGATGAAAAAAGTGAGAAGTTTGTCTTCATCGGCTATGATCCTAAATCTAAAGGCTACAAGTTCTACAATCGTTCCAATGGGAAGATCGTGATTAGTAGAGATGCAGAGTTTGATGAAAATGCCTCATGGGTTTGGAATGTTGCTGAAAATGATGAATATGTCATTTGTCCTTTACAAGAGGGAGAATCAAGCCAAAGAACACATCAAGATGTTATTACTCCACCTCCATCTCCTACTTCTTAAGGTTCCCATGATAGCTCCCCTGAAGAGCCGGTGCACAAAAGGAATCTTATCAAGATATATGAAGAAACGGAAGTTGTTGATACTCCAAGTTTATTTTGTTTCTTTGCTGACATTGAACCATTAAACTTTGAAGAAGCGGTGCAGGATGCAAAATGGAGAGATGCAATGGAGCAAGAGATTCAAGCAATTCAGAAGAATGGCGCATGGGAAGTAGCAACCCTTCCTAAAGGACAAAAGGCAATTGGCGTAAAATGGGTGTATAAAGTGAAGAAAAATGCCGATGGAAAAGTGGAAAGAAACAAAGCAAGACTCGTTGCGAAAGGCTACAGTCAGAAGCATGGCATTGACTATGATGAGGTATTTGCTCCTGTAGCTCGTTTGGAAACTATTCATTTGATTATTTCCTTGGCAGCTCAAAATAAATGGAAAATTTATCAAATGGATGTTAAGTCCGCTTTCTTGAATGGCTATCTTGAGGAAGAAGTGTATGTTCAGCAACCTTTGGGCTATGTTGTCAAAGGACATGAAGATAAGGTCTTGAAGTTGAAGAAGGCTTTGTATGGATTAAAGCAAGCACCAAGGGCTTGGTATAGTCGCATTGACAAATATTTTCAAGATCATGGATTCATCAAGTGTCCACATGAGTATGCTCTATATGTCAAAGAAGATCAAGCTGGAGGTTTTATACTCGTATGTTTGTATGTCGACGATTTGATCTTCACCGGCAACAATGTAAAAATGTTTGAAGAATTTAAGAAGGTGATGGCTCAAGAGTTCGAGATGACCGATATTGGGCTTATGTCGTACTATCTTGGAATTGAGGTGAAGCACGTTGATGGTGGTATCTACATTTCTCAAGAAGCTTATGCAAAGAAAATTCTTGAGAAATTCAAAATGGAGAAATGTAAGCCGGTGAGCACTCCCATCGAATGTGGAGCAAAGATGTCAAGGTTTGATGAAAGTAAGAAGGCGGATGCGTCTCTTTATAGAAGTCTTATTGGAAGTTTGAGGTATTTAACTTGCACAAGACCCGATATCCTCTATAGTGTTGGTCTTGTTAGTCAATACATGGAAGCACCTACCGAGAATCACATGAAGATGGCCAAGAGGGTACTTCGATACATAAAAGGTACTCTTGATTATGGTTTAATTTATTCTCCCACTAGAAACTTCAAGCTTCATGGATATTGTGATAGTGATTCGGGTGGTGATGTTGATGATCGAAAAAGCACCACCGGTTTCTTATTTTTCTTAGGTGATACTGCATTTACTTGGAGTTCAAAAAAGCAGCCAATTGTGACTCTTTCAACTTGTGAAGCCGAGTATGTATCTGCTGCATCATGTGTATGTCATGCAATATGGCTAAGAAAGTTGTTGAAGATGCTTCACATGCCAGAAGAGGTTGCTCCCACAATTTATGTTGATAACAAGTCTGCTATTGCTTTGGGAAAGAATCCCATTTTTCATGATCGAACCAAGCACATAGACACAAAATTTCACTTCATAAGAGAGTGCATTGAGAAGAAAGAAGTGAAGCTAGCATATGTGAAGACCAATGATCAAATTGCCGACATCTTCACTAAGGCATTGAAGTTTGAAGATTTTGCAAGATTGCGTGCTTCGATTGGAGTCACTAGATATAATCAAGTTTAAGGGGGAGTGTTGAAAATTAAACTTGATTCATGAATCTAGGTGCATTAGTGTAGTTCATGTATGTGTCATGCATTTAATTAGTCCATTAGATTTTCAAGATTCATGTACTACAAAGTTCTAGGAGTTTTATGAGGTCTTAATAAATGCATATAATGTACTAAGGGTCTTTATGTACCTATAAAAGGGCTTGCGATTGAATCATTTAAAATATAGCCAAGCCACAAAAATATCAAAGAGTATTATAAGTATTTTCTTGTGTTCCTTTCTCTCAACTTCCCAATTTCAACAAAACACTCCATAAAGTCAAAAAGAACCGAAGGCAAAGATCTTCATCTTTCATGTTTTTGCCTTCTTAAAAACGGCAAAGAGTTCCGACAATTTCGCTGGCTCTGGCATTTGAAGTTTCGAAACCGAAAGCTCTCCAATAACTTGTCCCATAAGTTGGGTCGTTGACCCAAGAACACGACAGGCGTCGTCTCGCAAAGGACAGAAAGCAGAAGACTTGCGACCTTGCTAACGTGCAGTCCTCCTTGTCCTCTCCATGAGATGCCATCGTAACTGTGGTATACTAGACTTTGAAGTCAAGGTCAACAAGGACGTCGAACTAGGAAGAAAAACGCAAGGTCTGTTGTGGACCTTTGCGAGGCGTAGGGGGATGGATGAGGCCATGGAGACCATCCAAAACCGTGTGGTGGTAGGAGCCATTGAAGAATATCTGTCACCGTGTCCCAGAATAGCAACTTAGCTGGGTTTTTTCACCCCCCGACTGCCTGAAAAACTGTATACGCATGATGATTTGTCCCTTCTCTTCGAATGGAGAAGCATCACTCGACAATCGGACCGCGAAAGCGATAGTCATGCCACACGATGTGCGCTGTCATATAAAATATGAATCAAGAATCATGTACTTCTACCGTTTCATCAGTTTTGTGTCACTTTAAAGCTGAACAAAGCTAAATCGACGTAATCTTATGTAAGTTTTTTAAGGGTTCGAGAATGCCGTGATTTGGATGTGTGATGAATAAAGCGACAGCGAGCATGGCAAGCATAATGTCTTGATGCAGAATTCTATTTTTCTGCGCTGAAAAATACGGATTATTAACCATGCCGTCAACTTTGGATCGGTAAATGTCCAATTTATTGAATCGTCCCTCAATGCTCAACATAGCTTCATGGGCAACATGGCCCTCGGACGGTGGGTTTTGGGGGGGTCCACGAGTGAGATAGTTAGCGTGCATATTACGAAGACTAGCTAAGTCGAGAAGTTTGAATATCCCGTTTGGTAAAACAACAAAAAAATCTCTGTGAAGTTTAAAAAGCAATGTGCTCGCTTGAAAATTGTTCACGTAGAAATGAACTTCGAATAAAGAGATCGGAAGAGTTCGAGCAACGCGACATAACTTTTTTCGTTTCACGATCTTTTCACATCGGTTTACATTCATGAAAGGGTTCTGCGACGTTCGTTTTCGTACTTGACAACAATGACGCGTGTTGAAATTGTAAGACATTTCCAGGCCAGCAATGAATGATTGCGAAATTTCGTTAGGAACTTTCAAGGTGTCATTGCCCCCTTTTCTTTTTTGTGTGGTCCAAAGGTGTTATTGCCTTTCAAACGCAGAAAAAAGGCAGTGCTCGAGAAATAATGTCCTTCCCATAAACACAAAGCCTCCTCGAAAACAACAATTTCCCGATCCCAAACTGATAACCCTAGTTCGCGTCCTCGTTTCTCACCGCTCAAGCTCAGACCATGGACGGCATGAACCACGGCCACCTGCCCGGCACAAATGGGATGCCGACGATACCCCACCGCCCCGCGATGATGACGAACCACATGACCTTCTTCTGGGACACGCGCGCTGAGATCCTCTTCTCCGGTTGGCCGGGCACCCGGACCGGCATGTACGCCGTCGCCCTCGTCTTTGTCTTTGCCCTATGCCTCCTCATCGAGTGGCTCTCCCACAGCCGCCTCCCCGTCCCCGCCAAGCGGGGCTTTGCGGCCGGCGTCCTCCAGTCGCTGCTGCATGTGCTGCGCATGGGGCTCGCATACCTCGCGATGCTCGCCCTCATGTCCTTCAATGTCGGCGTCTTCCTCGCGGCCCTCGCCGGGCACGCGGTTGGGTTCCTGGCGTTCGCCAAGTCGGAGGAGGCGCGCCCTCCTCCGTACGCGGGGAAGGCCACTGCCGATCTACCTCCGATGAGCTGCTGATGCGTGGCAGGAGTGAGGTGGGTTGTGATACTTTAGACACGAAATGGATTGATATTATGATGATAAGTGGTGGTGTCGTGGAGAGTTACGACATGACAGTGGAATGGAGATAAGTGTTTGTTTGCTCTTCTTACATTTCTAAAGATCATCGAATGATATGATTTACATCGTTTTGTTGAAGCTGGAGACAAGTTGAAATAGATAGTCATGAGCCCTTCTTTAATGCTGTTTTTGCCTTTTCTTGCTGCGTTATTTCATGCGTAGCTGCATATCCGACTGCTGTATTTTGCTGGAATCCCATATAATATTAAAAATCATCATAACTTTTACTATCGAGCACGGCACAGTCAAGTTCAGTCCGTTTTGAATGCGAAACTAAACCAATTGAAACAATAGTGTTTGATAAAAGATCAGTTGATTTAAGATTAGAAATCGAATTGTACCGAATTTTGTAATTTTGGATCATGTTCCTTTCATCAGGCAAGTACTTGTTTGGCATCATCAACCTTGAATTCGTTAAGGGCTGAAGCCATTATCTGACAACAAAACCATTGATTTTTCAAGGGGAATGACGACCCATGTGTTGCGCCTCTAGATACATAAGGACATAAAGCACGGAACAAAATTATATACACTCAAAGATAGAACCCGGCTCGATTTTCACGTTGGTGTGACAAAATATTAGGACGGAAACAATTAACTATATAATTCAACCCGATTGGAGAAAATTCGGAAACTCCTCACCAAACCAAACTCAATCAAGAATTTCAATTGGATTTGGATGGTGAACTCGATTATTCTCGGCTTCACTCAACACATTCGATTGCCACCATGGCAGGCTCAAGCTGAGCGTAACGAAAACGTTAACATCAAATATATCGGAAACTGGCCACGGAAAAATCTATGAAAAGAGCTCGATTGATGCAGCCACGGAGACGTATTTAATCACGCAGGGTTGTGCAGAGGAATATCATTTGTTTAAGCAAATCGTCGTTTTTAAGTCTCTGAATTAGTCGTTTTCCATCCCCGGGGTGATGATTAAGGAAGTGCAAGCGACTTCAAAACCTTACCCGAAAACTTTCCCTACTTTTTTTCTTCGTCAAAAGATCTTGTGTCACATCTTAAAAAGTCCATGGGTTATATGACCGACTTCTCTACAGGCTAATAAGCAATTAGTAAGACCAAGCCCAAACCAAGCCCACTTCTGGTCGGAAAGAAGTCCATCGAAAAGTATAGTCCCCAAAGATCTCCCAAACATTAATAAGTTTGTTCAAGCCTTCAACGAGTCCAAAGGTCTTGAGCGATCGATCCGGCAGAACAACTCAAAAGATAAACAAGTATCGTCGATTTCTTAGTACTCGTTCCAAGGTACCCGAGCAAGCTAGTCACATTTTCGAACATGATACTAAACCACATTTCTGAGGAAGATGATTCCAATGAGGATAACGAGAAAAAGAATAAAAACTAGAGCGATTGTCGTAGTCTAAGTAAATAACTTCTCTTGGAAAGTGAGAGGATTGCGAGCCCCGCTCTTTCTTTGGTTGCAACTTTGCACGGTCCAACTCTCCCTCCTTCGCTCTCTCCAATTTCATCTCAAGGCTTGTGCACGTTTTGTGTTGCCATATTGGGCAGAACTGCATTTTTTAAATTAATGAATTAAATAACTTTGAACAAATTACTCTAGACATTTAGATAAACCGACTAAGATTCTATGAGTCTCGTTTGGTTGACATATATACTATGATAATTCTACAATATACAGTCAAAAAAGTTGAGTGAAATTTTATGTTAAGATGTATGTCGTAGATTTAAAGTCAAGCTTCTTGCAAAAGGTTTGAGAAATACTTAAGTGAAAATGGAAAGTTATTTTAATTACTGTTTACACCAAAATCGGCATGGAAGTCACGTCGGTTTAATGTCAAAATCCGATGGACAATGGAGCTCAGTCGTAGTACGTTTGGATAAAATTCGGAAATGTAGTAAGCGTGAGTGGCACCATGTCCCGAACTCTGTGACTAGAGAGAATCGGTAATTTTACCGAAACATGAAAAGTTTACATTTTGGGAAATGTTGAAGCTACCGAAAATCGGCAAGATCACAACCCAGCCACGTGAATCGTGACAACAGGAAGTTATGAGCAAGAAGTGGAGATAGTAAACACGAGCAGATCGTGGGAGATCATTTATCCAAATTGGAAGTTATCCCAAGCTTGAGATCAAGTTTTGGTGGACAATGAAATTGGAAAACGTGGGTAGATAAGGCAGTTATTGAAAGCGCCAAAATTCAAAGTTCGAAAACAAAGAAGTAACCGACAAGCAGTTACAGGGTAGGAGGAGATATACGTACTCAGAGGAAAGAAGAAGAAAAAAAACCCGCACAAGAATGCAAAAACACTCAAGTTTATAGGCACTTTAGTTTCATTTGCACTTTTACTTCCCGCGTTTACGCTTCCCGTAGCTTTAGTTAATCTTCAAGCCCTTTACCGCTTTCGTAGGAGTATTGTAACGTAGCTTGGAACTCGTTGATCCCGCATCCATTTTCAATCCACTCAATTTCTACCCGCTTCCACATAACCCAAAGACTACACTCTGTTTTTTCGCCACGATATTCCTAGTAATCAAGCCACGTAACCTACTTTAATAAAAACCGAAAATCACAGTTTCGGTGAAGGATATTCCTCGTCGCAAAACGAGCGAACATCTTTTTGGCACGCCCGGTGGGACCTGCGTGGTAAGATTTGGAGAAATGGTGAGAACTAGGCAATCTGAAGGAATACCGGTCGGCAACATCAACAATCCAGTTGATGAAGCACGTTCTGAACATTCTGCAGCAAATCAAGTAGAGGAGAATGCCGACATTCCTCGACAATTAACTGAAGAACAAGCCCGTGTGTTGGCACCAGATAACACCTTGGTAGCCACGATAAGAAGGATGTTTGAGGAGCAGCAGAACGATCTTACCAATCATATGGTGCGACATGTAACTGATGTGATAAAGCCCATGGTGATCAATGCTATAAATGAGGTAATATCGCGTCCCACTTCATCTTCTCAAATTCCACCCTTTTATGTAAATCCTCCGGCGACAACATCATTCCCACCAACATCGGGACCTCTTCATGTTGGATATAATGGTAGTGGGGGATCAAATTCTCAACCTCCTGTTAGAATTATACCAAGGCCAGAGAATCCTACCCCTATAAACCTTGTGAATGGTGTGAGTGCTTATAATTTCCCTCAAAATGCCTCAAATGAGGTTAATTTGATTAATCCTGTGACCACTAATGCACCATCAGGGACGAATGTACCTCTACCAGTGAATATGCCTAATATTGACCATATCAGACCACCTGCGCCTCAACCATATCCTCATGTGATAGAAAATCCTCTTTATAGACCACCACTGCTTGTTAATTTCAACGTAGAGCAGCAAGGGGTGAATCGACCGCAACAGTTCGATCCTAGAGGTCAAGATCCTTGGGTAGGCCAGCAAAATTTAAGGCCATGGAACCCAGATAGAGTTGCAGAATTGGTAATGCAACAATTGGGAGCGAGAAAGAGGAATGCCAAGGCCGGTGTATAGGAAACCACATCCCGATTGGGTTGACAATATACCATATCCGAGGGGTTTCAAGATGCCGATTTTGCTGTATTTACAGGGAGAAGAAGATCACTCAACTGTGGAACATGTGGGTCGATTCTTAGCACAATATGGAGAAGCCGGAACTAATGAGTATTTAAGGTTAAGATTGTTTCCACTGTCTTTGTCAAAAACAGCGTTTACTTGGTATACGAATCTGCATGCGAATTCTATTCAGACATGGATGGAGATGGAAAGGCAGTTCCATTCTCAATTTTACCGAACAAGACTGTAAGTAACGGTAGCCGATTTGGCCAGGATGTATCAATATGGTACCGAAACGGTAGATCGCTTTATTGCACGTTTCAAGAAATCCAAACCGATGTTTAACGTCACTTACCGAAAAGGAGTTCACGGATTTGGCTTTTAATGGCTTGAGGTTCAACCTTAAAGAAAGATTTGAAGGACAAGCATTTGATGATCTCTTTCAGTTGAACGCACGGGTTTCCAAGTACGAACACTTGTTGAAGGAGAAAGATAAGAAGCCGAACAAGGATAATCGGCATACAGTGGCATTTGCTGAAAATACCGAACAAGGTGATATAGCCGAAGAGGAGAATGAAATAGCCGTAGCAACTATGGTGCTTGAAAAACCGTATGTGTGCCCAGCACTAAAGCCAGCCAGGATGAGAGATGCATCCAAGTTCAAGGCTAAGGAGACAAATAACTATTCCTTCGACATCTACAAGTTGGATGACATATTTGATCTGTTATTGAAGGATGGAGTGATCAAGTTATCTGAAGGGCAAATAATTCCGCCAAAGGAGGAAATGACAGATAAGAGGTATTGCAAGTGGCATCACTCTACAACCCATGATACGGTGAATTGCATTGTATTTAGGAAGACTATTCAAGAAGCAATTCGCCAAGGCAAAATTAAGTTTGTTGAAGACAAAGGCAAGGCCCCAATGGAAGTGGATACAGACCCTTTCCCGAACATGATTAGTATGGTTAACATACGAGATATGACAGGTGACAATAACAAGCAACTTTGCGCTCGTTGTCACCAAGAGTTAATTCACCAGAATCGGGAAATACCCAAGTTCCAATACATGAGAGGAACAAGGGGGAGATATCGATCGGAATCGTTTGTCCGCAGAATAAGTAGACCACAGGTTAAATCTGAGATTGTTGCTACCGAAGATCAGGAAGTTCAATCAAGACAAACAGCACATGTTCCCGAAAGAAAAGATGTTAGTCAAAGATGTGAGAGGAAGGAATATCACTATGGTTCGTCACAACCAGCTTTCCCACTTCGGGAATCAACCACTCAGGTTCATGAAGAAAAAGAAACATTACCCAAGCCCGCAAAGAAAAAGAATTTGTGGCAACGATATAAAGAAGGTGATCCTAAAGTCGGATTGCTTGGACAACCTAGTGGGAAGTTTGACTATGTGGTCTATTACGGAGATACGGATGATTATGCACCTCCGTCATTACCAATTGTGCCGACTGGCTGGGGAGATGAGTTTGATGATCCACCACCGTCAAATTCCCAAGAAATCCACAAGCGAAAAACAGTTAAAGTGCCACACAATCCTCCCGAAGGAAAATGGTCGACAGTTAAATCGCCAGGACAAGCGTCTT